ACCACGATCGTGCGGACTACACACTCCTTTTTTGTTCCGTGCACCATTCATCTTCAAAACAACAATAATCACGAAACCAACAGATTCCGAACCACAATGGCATCGAAAAAGCGGATTCGATTGCACGAAATCACAACGGCAGCAACAAAAATAGCTAAAAAAACTCAATCTTTACTCCCTAATCATTGCATTTCCAAATTTCACACTTCCAACACACACAAACACAAAGCTTTTCATGCAAAAAAAAAAAAAAAAAAAAAGAAATTGAAGTGATCAACTTCCGCCGAAAGCATCCAAAACAGCAATTGATCGAAAATTTCAATTCAGGGATCCAATGTGCATATCAAAAGACTCAAACTTTAATCCACCAATTAAAACCTCCCAATCAAACAATCAAAATTAACAAAAAAAATATTAAAATTTCCAAAAATTTAGATTCAGTAGGAAAATATCAACGGAGGAATCTACCAATGCGATACCTGGTGAACTCCGCCGAGATTTCTAGAGAGAGAGAGAAAGATATTCGAACGAACGCAAGCAGTTTCAAAGAAATTCCAGAGAGAGAGAGAGAGAGAGAGAATGATCAGACCGATCCCGATGGGTTTAAATAGTGGCAGCCGGAGAGCGGACCTCGCACCGAAGTTAAGGTTGTTTAAATTACGAAAATGGTCCTGGGTTTGGCGGATATTACGATTGTGCCATCCACTTCGCTATTTTAATCTCTGATATTTTTGGGTTCGTACGGTCCACAGCTTGGATCTGCCTCGATATTGAGCTGTCCGGCCTTATCCATCGTGGCACTGAATCAGAAGCGGGACCCACGTCTTTTGGAAATGTCTAAGAGGTGAGAGACATTATTGCATGTGTTTCACAACACGGTCTTTACGGTGCACAGCAAATTAGGGTATTTCTTGGGTCGCCTATCGAATTGAATGGGATGAAGAATATTAAAAGATAAAAATTAATAAGATGTATATAACCAGTGAAAAGGTACATGTGAATAACATCATTGTTTTTTTTTTTCTAACATAAATAATTCTCTTACGTTAATATATAACTTTTTTTTTATTTTTTAGTTGAGCATCAAACGCAAAATTAATCGGCAACAGTGGAGATTGACCAGGATTTTTTAAGCATTTATACTCTCAATAATAACATCTTGATACGCGAAATGATGATTTTTTTGCCAACGCAAAAGATATTTTCCATTTTCAAATTTTTAAAACCAATATAAAAAAGACAGCAATGTGTTCTGTGAGAAATCTTCTTGGAGAAACTCTCAGTTTTAATTCTCTAAGACTTCTCTACAAAAACCATTTTCGTGTTCAACAGACAAACCCTAAGAAAAATAGGAATTTTCCTTGAATCTATATGGGAGTTTCCTACTCTAATACAATAGTTGGTAAAAGTAAATTGAAAAAAAATCAGTTAGCTTTTGAATAATAAAGTGGATGAGGAAAATAAACTTGAAATTTGAATAAAAGTCAAAATTTATAAATTGACATGCACTAATTCCATCGTTTGGATTCATAAACATAAAAATTTAGAATTTCCCCATATAAAACAAAAACTTAGAATTTGAGACCTCAAATTCCCAAGTTTAGATTGAGAGTTTAAAAATAACAAATTTTGTATCCAATTCCATTGTTTTTTTAGGTTAACCAAACAAGAAAATTCACATATTCTAAAAAATAAAATCTCGTCATTTCAATTTCAGTCATTTTAAAATTCCTTAGTAATCTTAAATTTCTTCGTCCAAACATAATGTTACAGAAAAAGAATATGCTTGAAGTTCTTGTCACCTTTATCCATTTGAAGATAAAGATTGATAGAGTTTTGCTTCCTGAAAAAAGATAGCGACGAGGAGTTTTCGATACCCGTGTTCTTCTCTCATACTTTTAGCTCACTAATGCAATTAGGTTCTGAACTTTTGCTTCCAAGGAAAAGGACTGGTAGACGTTTTCTTTCGTTTCAAATTTCTAAATCTTATCCAAGACTCTAATAATAGAAGGTGAATTCTTATCTGAAGGTGGAAACTTTTTGCACGCATGGATCACTTGATTGCTAGGGTACAGGTAAGGTGCACCACCCTCGAGTGTACTGCAATCTCACACATATTTTATGCATGTAGCACAATAAACGTTATGCATGCACATATGTGAGAGAAAAATATAAAAGACAAAATATATTTTAATACGTTGAACCTTATGCAGGTACTCATAACAAAATTACGTCACCTTTGAGATATGAACTCATCAAAAATATATATTTTTTGCTAGATCATATACACACACACAGAGATACTTTAAAGGTAGAATATCGAACTTCACATTTGCTTTTAGAGAAAACGTGACTACTAGTACTACTGAAAACAAGACATTTTCGAATTATAGAATATAAGATGCATACGGGTGATCCGAAGGTTGATGATCGTTAGTTGCACAGCCACAAATTGCCCTTTTACTTGTAAGAATGAGATTTTCGATTCTCATTTTATTCTCTATAAGACAATAATGGGGATGGAAAGAAATTTACTTGGTGAACCTAACTTGCCTATAAACAAACTAAGTTTTTTAGTTAAAAATGGTTTTCGAAATTGGCATAACTCCTTGTTTTAATCTCTGACAGTAAAAATCGATAGAATTATAGAAATGATCCTTGAGTTTATCCACTGTAAATCATTTTGGTATCCATGAATATACTCTTAAAAAAGATGGTCACGTGGTCAAACTCAATGACCATTTCTATCGAGTTTCATTGTCAGAAACCAAATTAAGGAGTTATCCTAATCTCAGAAATGATATTGTCTACTTTTAGAATAATCAGGAAGCTCCACTTACATGCATAGTTAAAAAGAATCAAATGCACGCACACTCTTAACTAGAAAAAGAAAAGAAAAGGTTGTATAGAGAACGCTTGGAATTTGCCTAGTTTTGAGCAGTCCTTTTCATACATTACGTATGCATGTGTTTAACATACTAAAATGGAGAACATGGTTTTGCTCATTTGATACCACGCATATGCATAAAATAAATTGATAAGGACTTAGAGCCTGACTATGACGTATCAACTTGTGATGCATTTGGTTTGAAATCCACAATCTATACGCAAGTAGTCATTTACTATAATGGTGGAAAAAAGAGTTGAATCTTTACATGACAGCGTGAGTTTAAACCCCGTTGATGACTAATTTAACAAAATTCATCATTTAAAAAAAAACAATCTATATATATTCATAATTGAAATACTTTAATCAATAAAACTTTTGGTATGAAAAGAGACATACTAGTGTTTTAGAAAAAAATGAAAATTAACTAGATTTCAGTGTATAGGTGTTTTTCTTTTTAGTGTTAAGAAAGGTCGACATATACTAACATGCATGTTTTAGAAAAAGCAAATGAAACTTTCGATTTTTTCTTTCTAATATTAAAAGAGTTCGACTCTTAGCCTCGGTCAGTGAGAGATCTCATCAGTTTGTGTCACGCTGCCCTCCATGATATCACCCAATACACACACTCGGCCATTTCACTACCTGAACTTCGTGGAAGTGGCAAGTCATGGTAGATGTATCGTTCCGAGTCTGACTCTTATGCATGCATGCATGCTATACTAACCCACCTAAGCATCAACACATCTGAGCCTTTGATTGGTGTGTAAAAGAAATCAGAGTTGTTGATTTTTGTATGGTAGGTCAATGAAATGAGTTAGTGAAAACCGTCGAATTTAATTTGTGCGCCGCATATATGTTGATCATTTGGCTCTAAATACTAAAATCTAGAGTGATGTTGACTATACATCTATGACTCACACCTATGTCAGCTCATTAGTCCACCTCATCATTCCAGCTCAGCAATAGTTAGTTAGACAGTTGAGAGTGTGGCTGAGTTGTTATAGCTGTTATTGAATTAGTTAGTTAAAATAGCTTAAACTGCAAGATAGCCATAATGGCTATATAAACTGTATTCTCACAGTTGTAAAGATTGATTTAGAATTAATGCAATCCATTGCTTCTCTCTCTTTCTTTCTCTCTCGAAACACTCATAGTATTCTTAGTAGATTTTATGCATTCTTCGTTCTCTGTTAACATGGTATCATCATCGAGTCGATTCTTGGTGACCTTTTTCCGCTAATTTGTGATCGAAACGGAGGTAAAGCTCTTCGATCATATCTTTTCTGGTTCGGGTACAGATTCAAGAAAGCAGTATTATCAGGTTCATGGTTCTTTATGACATCTTGCACTCTATATGTTTGATGGAATGTCGCAGTCAAATTTTTTGCTTCAAATTTCATAATTGTTAGAGGCGATACCCATAAGTGTTGAAATCATGGAATGTATAGATCAATGAGGTGTTTGTTGGGATAGAGAGGCCGATAGCCATTTTCCTTTTATGTTTCACTTCAGAAAGGCTGATAGCCAGCAGTGTGCGTAGTATTCTTGCTGTGTTTTACGTATGAAAGTTGAGATTTCATCATTTCATCAGAAAAGCCGATAGCCAAAAGTGTGTGCATAGAATTCTTTGTGTGATTTACATACGAAAGTTGAGATTTTATCGCTTCAGAAAGGCCGATAGCCAAAAGTGGTTGAAAAGTTCTTACGAAGATTCAATTTGTTGCTAAAATTGATACAATGGTTGATTCAAATGTCAAGATTGAATGGTTATTGGGAATATTGATTGTAAAACTTCAAGATGATAATTTTGTTAAGTGGAGCTATCAATTTCAATCAGTTTTAAGGGGATATGATTTGTTTGATTTCTTTCTTGGAGAAAATCCTTGTCCATCTAAGTTTGGGGTTAATACGGACACTAGTGTAACAAAGGAAGTTACTCTATCTGTATAAAGAATGGGTAAGAAAAGATATGGCATTGCTGAGTCTTCTTATTACTACTTTATCTGATGAGGCTATGGAGCATGTCATTGGGTGCAGAACATCTCATGAAGCCTGGACATGTTTATAAGAAAGGTTTGCATCAATCTCAGTTGTTCAGGTTAATCAGTTAATGACTGAATTACATACAACACAAAAAGGAAGAGAATCTGTGGATAAGTTCTTAATGAGGCTGAAGAATATAAGGGATCAACTTGCTTCTGTAGGAGAAAGAATTTCAAATAATGATTTAATGATTGATGTGCTATCTGGTTTACCTGTAGAATTCGAAATGATTAGGACAATGATCTTGGCAAGGGATACAACTCTATCTTTAAAAGATTTTAGGGCTCAACTTCTTGTTGCAGAAGGGAGCATTGAGTCCAAGATGCAATCTTTGTTAAGTTTTATTGCTGCAATGTGTGTCCAAGGTGAAGGATCTAACTCTCAGCGATATCAGGGCTGTGAACATGGTGAAAGCTCAAATACACAAGGAATGCACAGAGGATACAATGGAGAGCAATTTGGAGATAGCTTTCAAGGTGGCTCTGGTTTTCTAGGCAATGGAAATAACAGGAATGGCAACACTAATTACAATACTAGAAATAACAGTAACAATTTCAAGAAGTTTGGGAATGGAAACAACAACTTTAAGAATTCATCTTCCAGATTTCATAACAGGAATGGAAATTGGGGTAATAACAATCACTTTGGGAATGGAAACAATAGCTATTCTGGAAATGGAAAAGCTCATCAGAGTGGAGGAAATGGCTATTTTGGTAATAATTATGGAAATGGAAGTTCTTTTTCTGGCAATGGGAGTCTAAATGGTGGCAATGAGAGTTCAAATAGCTGCTACTCTAAGTCAAATTGGGCTGGAAATACTAATTTAAGTCTTCTGTATCACCAGAGTGTCAAATATGCTCAAGAAGAGGACATACTACACCAAACTGTTATTACATATCTGATAATGGGAATGTATAGAGTTCTGGTCCTGTGATGTGTCAAATTTGTGGAAAAAAAAAAGGCATATTGCTCTTGAATGCTATCACCAGAACAACTATGCTTACCAAGGTAATCCATCACCTTCTTCTCTTGTTATGACTGCTCAGACAAACATTGAGTCAAATGCGTCTACTGGTTCAGTATTTCCAAATGAAAATGGACATGGTTTTTCTACTGAAGATCATTGGATCATTGACACAGGGGTTACTCATCATATGACTGTTAATCTAAATCATCTCAATAATGTTACTTCATACACTGATAATGAGAAAATTACTATTGGGAATGGTACAGGTTTATCAGTTACTCATATTGGTTCAACTTCAATATATGTGCCTCATAATGCTATATTGTTAAGAAATGTGCTTTGTGTACCTACAATTGCTGTCAATTTGTTATCTGTTAAAAAGATGTGTAAGGATAATGGTTGCTGGTTTATATGTGATGATATTGTGTTTTTATACAAGACAAGGCAACTAGGAAAATACTTTACCAAGGAAAGAGTGATGGTGGGGATTTGTTTACGATAACAGTGAATGTGTTTGCTGGGTCATTTGCTGCAAAGTTGGGAAGATGTTCAGCTTTTCTGGGGAAGAAAGTTCAAGTTTTAGTATGGCATCAAAGGTTAGGACATCCATCTGAGGAGGTTCTTGCTGCAATGCTAAAGAAGTCAAAGGTGATAGTTAGTGCAAATTGTTCACAATCCTTATGTTCTTCATGTATTAGTGGTATAATGACTAGGCAACCTTTTCATGTAAAATAGTCTGAAGCTACTTTTCTTTATGAAAAGATACATACTGATGTATGGGGGCCCTCTCCAAAGGTGTATGTACAAGGATATAGGTACTATATTAGTTTTGTGGATGAATATTCTAGGTTCATTTGGATATTTCCCATGAATAATAAATCACAAGCTTTTGATATATTTGTGAAATTTTATGCCTTTATTTTGAATCAATTCAATGCTACAATCAAGTGTTTACAATCTGATGTAGGGGGGAGAGTTTTTAAGTAAGACATTTATCAGTTTTCTGGAGAATAAAGGAATTCTCATATGATATCTTGTCCATATACTCCCCAACAAAATGGCCTTACTGAGAGGAAGCATAGACATGTGGTTGAAACTACTGTGACTTTGTTGACTGAAGCAAATTTACCAACTCAATTCTGGTATCATGCATACACACATGCTGCATTTCTCATTAATAGGATGCCAAGTAGAAATCTAAGTATGAAGTCACCATAACAAGTAGTTTTTGGAATAGAACCTGAGATTCAACATCTAAAAGTGTTTGGTACTATAGTTTATCCATTTTTGGGACCATATAATGAGAACAAGTTGTAGAAAAGGTCAATTCAGTGTGTATTTCTTGGCTCTATGATGGATATAAGGGAATAGCTTGTTACAAAATTAGTACTGGTAAAATAATCATATCAAGACATGTTATTCACGATGAGGAGGTTTTCCCACATACAAAGTAAAATCAGTCACAAAAATGCAGAAGTCTTCATAATCAACACAGGATAGTTCACACAGTCCTTCAGTTCCAATTGTGACGCAGATGCCATTTCCCAATGGCAATGGTTATGCAGGACAGGTTTTCGAAGTACAAAATGGGAATGATAATACATCAGTTTAAGCAAGTGAATCACAGGAATTCAGTGGTGCAAATTCACCTTCATCTTCACACAGAAATGGTTTTCACAGTCTTGATCAACATGATAGTTCCCATCACCATCACTCTGGTATCTCAACTAGTATTTCTTCTATGTTGCCTATCCATCACAATTCTCAGCTTGAGGTAATTCTGCCCATCTCTCCATTAACCAGTTCATCTTCTGAGTCTTTACTTGCTGAAATACTAGAAAATATAGTCCAAACAAGGTTAAGAACTGAAGCTATAGAAAGAAAGAATTATGCAACATTGGTGTTTTTTTGTCCTCAACTTCAAAGTTTACAAGTCACAATTGAAGATCCATTTGTTGGAGGGTTTTCTTTTCTATCTGAGATTACAGATTCATCTAAACCATCATGTTTCAGAAAAGCAGCATCCATGTCTCAGTGGCAAAATGCGATGCAAGAAGAGTATGATTCTCTTCGAGCTCAAGGTACTTCGAACTAGTACCTGTTCCTGAAAATAGATCTATAGTTGGCAGCAAATGGGTGTATAAGGTGAAAATGAACCATAATGGTAGTATTTCAAGATACAAGGCAAGACTTGTAGCTCAAGGTTTTTCACAGGAACATGGAATCGACTATTCTGATACTTTTAGTCCAGTTGTGAGGCATACAACTGTAAGGATCATTATTGCATTAGCTGCTATGAGCAGGTGGGAGTTGAAACAACTTGACATAAAGAATGTGTTTTTTGCCTGGGGAGTTGCAAGAGGAGGTGTACATGAAACAACCACAAGGCTTTGTGGATCCCAGTCATCTAACTCATGTTTGTAAGTTGTTGAAGTCCCTATATGGTTTAAAACAGGCACCTAGAGCCTAGAATTCAAAGTTTACAAGCTATCTACAAGCAATGGGATTCACTACATCAGTCTCCGACACAAGTTTGTTTATGAAAACAGATTTTGCAGATATAATCATTTTACTGTTATATGTGGATGATATTATTTTGACTGGATCAAGCTCAGTTAAAATTCAAAATGTAGTCCAATAATTGTCAATAGTGTTTGATTTGAAAGATTTGGGAAAGCTCACTTACTTTCTTGGTCTACAGATTCAATATAAATCAAATAGGGACATTTTTGTTCATCAAGCAAAGTATATAAAGGATCTCATTCATAAATCAGGAATGGATTCTTGTAAACTAGTTGTTACTCCTTGTAAGCCTCATAGTCAGCTCCTATGTTCAGAAGGTACTCTCCTTGCAGACCCTAGTACATACAGAAGCATTGTGGGATCTCTACAATACTTGACATTTACAAGGCCTGACATTGCATTTGCAGTCAATGCAGTGTGTCAATATATGAACTCCCCAACTGAGATACATTTTGGTGCTGTCAAAAGGATTATAAGATATTTGCAGGGAACAATGCATAATGGGATAGTGTATTCTGCATACTCACAACCTATTCTCACAGTTTTCTCAAACTCTGATTGGGCTGTAGATCTCAATACAAGGGGGTCTGTCATCGGGTATGTTGTTTATCTTGGGGAAATCTGATTTCATGGCAATCAAAGAAACAAACGTCTGTGTCCAAAAGTTCTACAGAGGCTGAGTATAAAGCTCTTACTCATACTGCAAAAATAGCTTGGATTAGACAAATTCTCAGAGATTTGAAATGTTCAGTGCCTCAACCTGCAATAATCCACTGTGATAATATGTCTACAATAGCGTTAAGTTCAAATCCTGTCTTCCATTCCAGAATCAAGCATCTAGATATAGATTATTATTTTGTAAGGGAAATAGTGCAGAAATGAGATCTTGAGGTTCTCTACATTCCAACAGAAGAACAAACTGCAGACGTTCTAACTAAGGGGCTGCATAGTTCTTTGTTTCTCAAGCATTGTTACAATCTAAAGCTTAGGAATCCCAGCTTAGATTGAGGGGGAATGCTGACTATACATCTATGACTCACCTATGCTAGCTCATCAGTCCACCTCATCATTCTAGCTCAGCAATAGTTAGTTAAACAGTTAAGAGTGTGGCTGAGTTGTTATATTTGTTATCGAATTAGTTAGTTAAAATAGCTTAGACTGCAAGATAGTCACAATGGCTATATAAACTGTATTCTCACAGTTGTAAAGATTGATTTAGAATTAATACAATCAATTGCTTCTCTCTCTCTTTCTCTCTAGTTCTTTATTTCTCTCTCTAAACACTCATAGTGTTCTTAGTAGATTTTATGCGTTCTTCATAGTCTGTTAACAAGTGAATCCAATTTCAGATTATGGTACACTTGCCAAATATTAAGGTCTAGAGACTTCTTTCGTTGTGGGACATGTGGCTATTCTTTTTAACCAATCAGATTAAAGTTTGTGAGAAGGCAGTAATTAGGTATAACTTGGAATTCCGTGGGTAATTTTGTTGTAGAGTAATTGTCTTCCTTCACGATGTTGTCAAATTTTTATGGAAAAATAGGGTCTAATTGCAATATTAAATCACATAAAAAATAAAAAATAATTCATGCAATTATATATCAAAGTAATGCATGCACACAAGTAATCAATGTTAAATGAGTGCGACATAATGGATTAGAAAAACTTAAAAACATGGTTGAGGCAAATGTTAGACACTTTGTTCTTAAGACAAGTTTATGCCCCACTACGGTGCTTATTATTGATCGGCACTTGTCTCTCAAGATACAATGACCACGTCTTTATAATAGTAGCACTCCAAATCACAATGCTCCAATGAATCACAATTGTGTTGAATACTCTCTCATATGGACTCAATGAGATTCTCTAATATTTAGTGCACTATATGTATGATTATGTAAAACAATGAAAAGTTATTTTACTTATTTATAGAATTTGAGATACTTTCTTTGGAAAACATGTGATCATTCATGAAGAGTAAAAAATTACAACTCTTCATTAGGACAGACAAATATTTCCACCAAAAGGCATCACTTCTAATTTCCATTCAATTAATTAATTTAATATAATAAAGATAATATTAAATTTTCAACATCTTTAGAGAGATTTTTCAGTATACTGAGAACACGGTTCCGCACATCAAGTGTCATAAAACAAGTAATTGGATACTTGAAGAAAAAATTACAAATAATTGTATTATGACACTTGTTCTTCTAAGTCATGTTTCCGACACATTGAAAAATTTCTCCACTCTTATCGCGTTTATATTCCCATGTAAACTAAGCTCACATGTTTTTATATGCACCACGCAACCGTAGAATTTTGACTTGTAGCTCACTTCCAACCAGCTTTGTGTTTTTTATGTAGTGCTTTAACTTCCACGTTTGATTATGGCATTTAGCTTGATCATAAAATCAAAGAATCTAGGAAAAGAAATAAACATC